AGAAGAAGAAGAAGAAGAAGAAGAAGAAGAAGAAGAAGAAGAAGAAGAAGAAGAAGAAGAAGAAGAAGAAGAAAGAAAGAAAGAAGAAAGAAAGGCCACCATTTTTAAACAAGAGACAGATGCAGGGCCTGTTAAAAAAGCAGATTGCCAGGTTCAAACCACTAACCTTCTGATTACTAGTCAAACACTTACTTGTTTTCACCACACAAATATTCCTAAGTCTGTTATTGTTATGTACCATTGAGTCATAATATCCTTATTTAACAAAAAAGAGTTATCCTATAGAGTTCTCCTAGGCTGGATTTTTTATGGGGTCAGATAACTGGATCTTTTCACCTTCAGTGTTGTTGTTATGTGCTGTAGAGTCACCTGCAACCCATAGTGACCCTACGTATAGCAGCTCTGAAGCTTAACCTGTCCTGAGTCACTGTCACTGATTCTGACACACCAACCCCCATTACCCCAATTACTGTATTAAACCATCTCATCTGGGGTCTTTCTCTCCTGTGTCATCCTTCTACCCTTCTGAGCATGTTCAAGATACTTCTCCATGACCACAACTCTAAGGCATTGATTCTTCTGTCATCCTTCGTCATTGTTCAGCTCTCTGATGCATAACAAGTAATTGTGAAGACCAGGGCCTGGATTAGGCACAACTTAGTCTCTAGATTGACATCATTGCATTTAGATGGGTTCAAACGGCCAAACTTTCAGTTAGCAGTTGAACTCTCAGGGCTCCTAACCACTGTATTATCAGCCTTCTAACTTAAAGTTTACAAACTTACTAGCCCTAAATCTGGACTGCCCTGCCTCTTTTTTATCCTTTCATTCATTCTCTCTGTCATAGAGTTGGAACTGATCAATTACTAATTCTCCAGTGGGTTTTCACAGACAGTAAATCACACAGACTATATTGCCCATCTTTTTCCCAAAAGGTAGCTGGTAGATTCAAACTGCCTGCCTTTGAGTTGGCAGTGGAATTTATTATCCACTAGGCCACTAGAGTTCCCTTAATAGCTGTGAAATTCTGAGCAAATTATTTCACATCTTTGCTCATCTGTTTCTCCATCTGTTAAAATTAATAATAAGTTTATTATGGAGATTAGAATGGTTACATTCAGAGTTCTACATAATTGTTGTTGTTAAGGGCAGTCGAATTGCTTGTGACTCATAGAGACCCTATGTACAACAATCCTAAACTCTGCTCTGTCCTGTGCCAATCACACTGTCTCCAATACACTCACACCGATTACCCCAGTCACTGAATCAATCCACCTCATAGAGGGCCTTCCCGTCCTGTGCTGTCCCTCCACCTTCCCAAGCATGATGTCCCTTGCCAAGGGCCGGTCCCTCCTTATAACATGATCAAAGTATGTCAGATGAAGCCTCAGAAGCTTTGTCTCCAAGGAGCAGCCCAGTTTAACCCTCTCCAGGATGAATCTGTTTGTTTAACTAGCAGTCCATGGTACATTCGTCTCCAGCACCACAGCTCAAAGGCATCAGTTCTCCTTCTATCTTGCCTAGTCATTGTCCAACTCTCTGACGCATAACAAGTGATTGCAAAGACCGTGGCCTGTATCAGATGCACCTTAGTCTCCAGAGAGACACCATGTTATTATTATATAAAATTTAATGAAAAGTATGTCATTAGAAAGTTGTACAGTTTGAAGATTCTAACTTTACATGGTATATGTATTCTAGAATTAGTTTTACACTTTAATAAATAAGAATGACTCTCTATGCCATAAGGTATGTGTATATGTTGTAGGATTTCTGATAACTTCTTTAGCAAGGGAACTATTAAATTACCAAAAGGTAGGTAGGAAGACAGACAGATAATATCTCTTCATTGGTTAAAAAAGAATTCTAGTAGTATTATCTAGTAGTATTATCTTCTTCAAATGAAGCCTTTCTCCATGAATTCATATTCCAGAGTAATGCAGGCATTCGGAGTATGGCCATTCGTCACTTTGGTGAATTATTCAAGGACATGAATCAGTATACCTGGATGCTAAATGATGTGGTTTTAGAAGGCTTGGTGCCTCTGATCCTATTTCTGGAGGATACAGAGTTAACAGTAGTTCAAGTAAGTCCTCATTAGCTTTATTGCAAATTGCTTTTATGTAATAATTGTGAGCAGAATCTTACTGATCTTCTATCTTGCAGGCATGCAAATATACATTAGAAGTCTGTTCCACACAATTAAACTGGTCAATAACACCTTGGCTCAAAGAAACACAATACAATTTTGAGGTGGTGGTGCTCAACATCTGTAATAATCTTGTAAGTGACCTTTTAGATTGTGCTAACAGACTAGCTATAGAAATAATTTAGAAGATACGCAGAGTGGTAAAAAGCATGATGGAGCAAGGGTGGATCTTGGAGAACAAATATGAAGAAGAAAATATTAAATAGGTGATTATTCCCAGAGCTTGAGACCAAAGAATACTGGAATTATATATTTCCTTACCCTTAGCACTTGTCTTCAATGTTATCTTCTCCTACCTTCACCCCATTTACTTTGCCTTCTTCCAATCCACCAGTTTTGAACAATGGATGTACATTGAGGTAGGAAGAATATTCCAGATGATTAAGAGGGGAAAAAAATGGAATTGCTTTGCTATTGACACAGGAGCTGTCCTTCTAGAAACCAGTAAGAACTGCAGTGGTAAACAATGGGGAGGAAAGAATGCTAATCAAAGTTTGGAAAGTTGAGTTTGGGAATCCTACAGTAAATCTAGTGAATAGTACTTGCCAGCAAGAGTGAAATTCATATACGGAATCCTCAGGTTTAAAAACAGATCTGCTGGGCACCCGGGGCGCCGAGGCCGAGGCAGAGGCCGGGGAGTTGCGCCTTGCTGACGTGCCCGACCTGCACGGCTCCTCTGAGCCAGCCCTCTTGGCAGCCCGGGCGTCTCAGCGGCTCTGCACAGCACTCCAGCGAAGATGCGGCTGTTCCACCAGCTGCTAAAGCAGCCCGTGCCCAAGCAGATCGAGCGCTATTCGCGCTTCTCGCCGTCGCTGCTCTCCATCAAGCAGTTCCTGGACTTTGGGAGAGACAATGCGTGTGAGAAAACATCATACATGTTTCTCCGAAAGGAGCTGCCTGTGCGACTGGCAAATACAATGAGAGAGGTCAACCTTCTGCCGGACAACTTGCTAAATCGACCTTCCGTGGGCTTGGTGCAGAGCTGGTATATGCAGAGCTTTCTAGAACTTTTGGAATATGAAAACAGGAGCCCTGAAGATCCACAAGTCTTGGATAATTTTCTACAAGTCCTGCTTAAAGTCCGAAACAGACACAATGATGTGGTTCCAACAATGGCACAGGGCGTGATTGAGTACAAAGAGAAGTTTGGTTTAGATCCTTTCATCAGCAGTAACATCCAATATTTTCTTAATCGATTTTACACCAACCGCATCTCTTTTCGCATGCTTATTAATCAGCACACACTTCTGTTCGGTGGTGACACTAATCCTGCTCAGCCTAAACACATAGGAAGCATTGATCCCACCTGTAACGTGGCCGAAGTGGTGAAAGATGCCTATGAAACAGCCAAGATGCTGTGTGAACAATATTACTTGGTAGCTCCAGAGCTGGAAGTTGAAGAATTCAATGCCAAAGCTCCAGACAAACCTATTCAGGTAGTTTATGTGCCCTCACACCTGTTTCACATGCTATTTGAGTTGTTCAAGAACCCAGCTGTTAAAACTCTTGTTACCTTGAGCAAAGAAGACTTATCCATTAAGATAAGTGACCAGGGTGGTGGTGTCCCACTCCGAAAAATAGATCGCCTTTTTAACTACATGTATTCGACTGCACCCAGACCTAGCCTGGAGCCCACCAGAGCCGCCCCGTTGGCTGGATTTGGTTATGGTCTGCCAATTTCTCGTCTGTATGCTAGATATTTCCAGGGAGATCTAAAACTGTATTCCATGGAAGGAGTGGGCACTGACGACGCTGTCATTTATTTGAAGGCTCTTTCAAGTGAATCATTTGAGAGGCTTCCAGTTTTTAATAAGTCAGCATGGCGCCATTACAAGACCACACCTGAAACTGATGACTGGAGCAATTCTAGCAGCGAACCCAGAGATGCTTCAAAATACAAAGCTAAACAGGACAAGGTCAAGACCAATAGAACTTTCTAGAGAACCAAATATTCTGGCTCTCTCTGTGAAGAAAAATCGCCTTCTGCAAGTCAACCAGAGAGCACTTCTTTCAAATACCAACTTCAAGTGCAGAACCATAGTTACTCCAGTGCTTGAATGTGTGTTTTCTCCATACCAGCTGGACCTCTTCCACGGGCAACTCTTTCACAAAAATGAGTTTGTAAATGGAGTAATTTCTTTGGTAGTTCCTTGCTGTTTGTTGTGTTTGGCACCCAGCATACACAAACCTCCCAGCACCTCCTGGGAGTGAAGCACGCCTGTCCTCACCCCCTCCACTTGATTATCATAGAGTCCAGTGTCCGCACTTTCCTCAGGATACCAAACTCTTTTCCCATTCCTGACACAGCAGATAACCTCCTGTTGCTCTTTGTGACCAAATACTATATTTGTCCCAAACCACTGAGCAGAGCCTAGGGAATCTGGATGTTCAGGGCATCCTCTGAGTATGTCTTGATAATTCAATCCCAGAGCCCTTTCTGCCTCATATGCCTTTCTCCCCCATTTTCTGATTTAGACCCTCGCCTTCTTCCATCTGATCATATTTCCATTGTGAGGTATGGGTACTTCCATGTTAGATCTTACTCTTTGATGCATTGATTTTCTTTAAAATTTCATTTGTATACTTCCATTCTGTTGATTAAAGTTATCCAAAAGTTAAAAAAAAAAACAAAAAAAACCCCACAGATCTGCTTTGGTATAACCAACTTGTTTTCTCTTAAAACCTCTCTAGAGGGAACAGATGGGCTTTTAAATGGTTTAAGACAATTTATTTTTCCATTTTTTATTTCCAGTACTTTTCTCACTGGCACTGCATTACAAATATGATATCTGATACCTTGGGGTTTCTGAAGAGCTCCCAAATATACCTGAGAAGAGGATCGGTTATTTTATTAGGTAAATAAAATTCAACATGCATTTCTTAATATGGTTACCTTAAAAAGCACAGGATTGTGGTCCTCTGGGGAGGGAGCAGAGTTGGGATCGCCTTTCTTTTTTGTTTATGACAGACAGCACCTGCCATGGAGGCATCTATGATGAATATAGATTAATATGCATTCTGGGGAAAGAGTTAAATTCTACAACACTGTGACTATTGAGGTGTAATTAAATCCAAGTATCTCCAATAAAATGCATTTCAAAATTTAAGTTGGTGACAGAACAATTTTAACCTTTTGACAATCACTATCCTTTCATCTTTTAACAATCACCTCTTAACACATTTTTTTACTTCTTAACAAATATTTTTATTTCTTATCTTAACACATACGATCCTTTACATCTTACTAACCATTGCCCAATTAACAGACATTACATATTTTTTTAAAAAGTAAAAATATAGACACCATCCATCATGGATTGAATTGAACAAAAAACAAGACAGAATTTAGTAACAAAATAAAGAGATAGTAGCAGGAAAGTGGAAGGAAATCTTTACATTAAAATGAGACAAGTGAAAAATTTAACTATGTTAACGATGATAGTCTACTATATATACCAGATGGTTAAAAGTTGGTAAAGGGTAATGATAAAAATAAGCCACAGGAGCATTTTTTATTTTCTATTTTGATAACTGTTTGTATATGTTGAAACCAAAATGGCATCTTTTAAACGCTTACTCTAAAAAACAGATGTCTTTTATTGTGAGGGGGAAACATGGAGGAAAATAATCTATTTTGTTTCAGCATTTGACAATAAATAACTCACACTTCACTCTTTATAGTTGAAAAAATTAATGAATGAGGTCTGGGCGAGGTAGAAAAAGAGTCCATGCTGATGTTTTTGTTTTCTTTAGAATAAAAACCTTTTAAAGCAATAGGTATTTGAAAACACTAAAAGATGGCTCTAAGATTGCCTAGAGATGCATTGCTTTGAAGAAAGCAAAGAAAGTGGCTAGATAATATGATAAGATGCATTTTCATAATGTACAGTGGAGTAACTTTAATTCTAACTTATGCATAGGGTACGTGGCAAAACTGTGCGGCCATTTACTACTCAGAATTGAAGTTGAAGTTATGCTTGATGGTAAGTGTTAAAGCTACAGAAACGTCTAAGTAAATTCAGTAAAATCTAGCCACGTGTAAGCTCTATAATGGTGCCAAGGATGAGAGGAGTGTGAAGATAGTAGGAGGAGAAGGGAACAACCCATTGTAGTGTAGTGGTAGAGCCCAGATTGGAAAATAGTTGAAATGAGAAAAAGCAGTAACAAGCATTGTTTAATAATTGGCACATGGAATGTTTGTAGCTTGAATGTTGGAAAACTGGATATTGTTAAAAATGAAATGGAATTCATGATTATTGACATACTAAGCATTAGTGGGATATGATGGACCATCTATGGCCACTTTAAATCAGATAACAATCATAGGATATACTATGCATGGGATGAAAAACAGAATAAGAATGGTTGTGCATTCAGAACCAAAGAGTAAATTTCAAGTTCTATCCTGAAATACGATGTTGTGAGTGACAGGATAATATCCATATGCATACAAGGAAGATCAGTTAACATGACTATTATTCAAGTATATGCTCCTACATCTAGTGCCAAAGAGGAAGAAATTGGGAATTTTTACCAAATTTTGCAGTCTGAAATTGATCAAACATGCAATCAGGATGTGTTAGTGATAACTGGTGACTGGAATGCAAAAGTAAGAAACAATGAAGAAGGACCAGTAGTTGGAAAATATCGGCTTGGTGACAGAAATAAGGCTGGAAATAGAATGACTGAAATTTGTATTTACAATGATTTATTCATTGCCAATACTTTTTCTGAAAGACACAAAAGATAACTTTACACATGGATTTCACCTGATGGGCAGCATAGGAACTAAATTAACTACATTTGTGGATGAAATCATTGGAGAAGCTCAGTATTATCAGTCAAACTAGGCCAGGGGAAGACTGTAGGTCGGATCATCAATTACTCATATGCAAGTTTAAATTGAGGCTAAAGAAAATGAAAATAAGTGCAAAGGAACCAAAATATGATCTTGAATCAACTCCTTCAGAATTTCATGATCATTTTAAGAATAGGTTTGAGGCTTTGAATACAAATGATAGAAAACCAGATGAGTTGTGGGATGATACCAAGAATATAATCCATTAAGAAAGTAAAAGGTCATTACAAAAACAAAAGAGAAATAAAAAATTGAAATGGCTGTCAGAAGAGACTCTAAAGATTGCAGTGGAACATTGAGGAGGCAAATCTAAAGGAAAACATGTTAAAGTGAAAGAGCTGAACAGACAGTTTCAAAGGACATCTCAGGAGGACAAAGCAAAATATTATAATGGAATGTGCAGAGAGCTGGAATTGGAGAATAAAAAGGGAAGAACTTGCTCTGCATTTCTCAAGCTGAAAGAACTGAAGAACAAATTTAATCTTCATGTCACAATGTTGAAAGATGTTATGGCCAATATATCAAATGACCCAGAAAGCATCAAAAGTACCAGAAAGAATTGATAGACACTGAAAAACTTCAGGAAGTACCATATGAACAGGATAAAATGGTAATGAAAGAGGATGTGGAAGTGGCATTGAAGGCATTGGCAAAAAAATAAGGCCCCAGGAATAGATGGGATACCAACTGACTTGTTTCAATTAACAGATGCAACCTTGGATGCACTTACCAGTCTATGCCAGGAAATTTGGATGATGGCTGTCTGGCTAATGGATTGGAAGAAGTCCATAGTTGTTACTATTCCCAAGAAGGGTGATCCAACTGAATGTGGAAATTATTGAAAATTATCATTGATAGCACATGAAAGCAAAATAATGCTGAAGATCACTCAAAAGTAGCTGGAACAGTACATAGATAGGGACTTGCCAGAAGTTCATGTGGGAATTAAAAGAGGCCATGGCACCAGAGATATCATTGCTGATGTCAGATGGATCCGGAGTAAAATTAAGGAATGCCAGAAGAAGGTCTATTTGTGTTTTATGCACTGTGCAAAGGTGTTTTACTGTGTGGATCATGACAAGTTGTGGCTTACATTGAGGAGAATGGGAAACCCAGAGTGCCTGATTGTGCTCATTGGAAATCTATACCTGGAGCAGGAGGCTATTGTACGAATGGAGCAAGGAAACACTGCATGTTTTAGAATTGGGAAGGGAGTGCATCAGGGATGTATTCTATCTCCACACCTGTTCAATCTATATGCTGAGCAAATTATTCAACATGATGGACTCTGAAGAGAAATGTGGCATCAGGACTGGAGGGAAGACTCATCAATAACCTGTATTATGCGGATAACACAACCTTGCTTGCTGAAAGTGAGGAGGACTTGAAGCACTTGTTGTGGAAGATCAAGGAATGCAGCCTTCAGTATGGATTGCATCTCAATATCAAGAGAACAAAGATTCATACCACTGGACCAATGGGTAGTGTCATGATGGATGGAGAGGAGATTGAAACTGTCAACAGCTTCATCTTGCTTGGATACACAATTAACACCCTTGAAATGAGCAATCAGGAATTAAGTAGATGCACTGCAATAGGAAAATCTGCAGTTAGAGACTTTTCAACATCATTGAGGAGTAGTGATGTCAGCTTGAGGACTAAGGTGCATCTGATTTAGGCCATGGTCTTCCCAATTACTAGCTATGCATCCAAGACCTGGACAATGAATAAGAATGACAGAAAAAGAATTGATGCCTTTGAGCTGTGGTGTTGGGGAAGAGCACTGAACATCCCATGGATGGCCAAGAAAACAAACAGATATGTCTTGGGGAAGGTGCAGCTGGAGTGCTCTTTGGTTGTTGTTGTTGTTATGTGCCATCGAGTCGCTTGTGACTCATAGCGACCCTATGTACAACAGCCCTAAACTCTGCTCTGTCCTGTGCCAATCGCACTGTCTCTGACACTCCCATCCCAATTATCCCAGTCACTGAATCAATCCACCTCATAGAGGGCCTTCCTCTCCTGCGCCGTCCCTCCACCCTCCCAAGCATGATGTCCCTCTCTAAGGACCGGTCTCTCCTCACAACATGTCCAAAGTATGTTAGACGGAACCTCAGAATCCTTGCCTCCAAGGAGCCACCCGGTTTAACCCTTTCCAGGACAAATCTGTTTGTTTTCCTAGCAGTCCATGGTATTCTCAATACTCTTCTATGTGCTCTTTGGAGGCAATAATAATGAGGCATTGCTTTATATGCTTTGGATATATTGCTAGGAAGTGCTGTTCCTTGGAGAAGGACATTATGTTGTGAAAGTTGGAGGGTCGGCAAAGGAGAGGAAGACCCTCAACCAGGTGGATTGACAAGATGACTGCTGCAATGGGCTCTTGTTGTGTCAGCAAGAGTGAGGATGGCGCAGGACAGGACTAGGTTCAGATCTTTTGTTCATTGGGTCACTATGAGTTGTACTCAACTCATTGGTACCTAATAAGGGAATAATCAGTGAAAAGACTGGGTTTAAAATACATCTTCAATCTCTGTTTTTCACACTCCCTATTTCAAACTCTCCATTAATCTCACACATAGTCTTAGACCTAGCTCATATCCCAAATCCCTCTGGAACTAAAGAGTGGGGAGCTCTTTCTCTCATTCATGCAACATAATTGTCCCAGTGTCTACTATGTGATAGTACTACTCTAATCTCTGGATATACATCAGCAAATAAAAAAGTTTCTTCCTTAGGGAATTTCCAATTTAGTAGATCCAATGCCACCTGCCACTGAGCAGATTCTGGTTCATAATGACCATATAATAAGAGTAGAAGACCTCATAGGGTTTCCAAAGCCAGAAATCTCTACAGAAGTAGACTATCATATCTCTCTCCTACAATGCAACTGATGGGTTCCATGTGCCAACTTTTCACATATCAGTTAAGTACTTTAACCACTACAAGAGCTCCTAACTTAGTATATACTAAAACAACAACAAAAAACTCCAAAACCATTGCCTTTAAGCAATCATGAAACTGTGCTTCCATAAAGATTACAAATGTTTAAACACTTGGGATATTATTTTTATTATCATTTGTTTATAATTGCTAAGTAAACTGATTCATGATGGCACTAAATATGTTGAGAGGGACTATGCTCTATATGATTCTGAGTGCTGGTTTTTCACAAGTAAATAAATAGACCCTTTTATTCCAGGTGTCTCCAAGTGGACTTTTTTGGTTAGCTCTGTTGTAGGGGTTACTTTAAGTTGAAACCCACTTGATGGCAAAGGGTTTAAATTTTTCCAGGAGTGCATTCCTGCATCTTTATCTCCTAGAGCAGCTAATGAATTAGGTCAGCACACGTTTCAATGAGCAAATGAAAACTTAACCACCAAGGTACAGCAGCTTCTCAATTGGTGAATGGTAATTAAGAGTAAAATCGTATCAGGACCTCAAACATTTCTCTCTTCTCTGTCTTGTCTATTGGCCTGGTGACACAGTAGTTAAAGGCTGGCAGTTAACCAAAGGCTTGGCAGTTAAACACACTGAACAACTCCTCAAGAAAGAGCAAATGGTTTACTTCTGTAAAGAGCACAACCAGCAAAATCCTATGGAAAATTTCTACTCTGTCATACAGGATTACAATATGCTGTAATAAACTCATATACCCCCAAACACCATAACACCTGAGTTTCTGAGTGGTACAATTGATTAACACAGGTAGCTGCTAACCAGAAGTCCACTCGGGCGCATCTGGACTAAAAAGTCCCCATTATTTACTTCTGAAAAATCAGCCATTGAACATGCATGGAGTCACAATGAATTAGAATTTACTTGGCAATTGTATAATAGATAGGCAGACAGATAGATGGAAAGAAATACAGACATATATACCCTCCAGGAGATAGAAATATAGACATATATACCCTCCAGGATCAAAATGATAAACAGATGAGGTAGAAAACAAGAGGGTTACCTTGCATTCTTTTTCATTTGTTCATTCATTCAATAGATACACATTAACTGACTGCCTATCAGATGCTAGGTATTAGAATTCTCTCTTCCTTTCTTGGAAAACATGCTTTCTTCTTTCTCTATTCCTACTCTTTCTTTTCCTGCTCTTTCTTTTCCTTTTCTAAATTTTTTTTATTATGTAAGAAAAGAATTATTACTCATTATACCACTATCTGTAAATTATAATAGTAACATCTTGGAATATACATACCTATTTTCCCTGATGTTTAAATAATATAGACATAATACATACTCATTTTTTAAAATCATATAACTACATGGGATTTTTAAAAATTTACGCACATACTAGAAATATTTTCCATGCCACAAAATTCATTTTTGCATCTTAATAAGTGCCTAACACTTCTTTGGCGAGTAAAACTCACCAACAAATCTGAAGGAGAACGGTTAGATAATCTTCTCCCGTTAAGATTTTACAACTTTGGAAACTCACTGGAGGTTTGCTGCTAGTCAGAATGTACTTGATGGTTAAAAGTTTTGTTTGGGATTTTGGTAGTTTTTAGTTTTATAATTATTAATTTAAACAAGTTCTTATTGATTAACTGGTTGATCCCAATTTAAATTGATTATAACTCTCTTCATTACAATGAGCAATATAGAACCTCCTTATGAGTGCATAAAGTGCCCTGTTGGCATAAAGTGTAACATATAAATAATATTGTTAATGGAAAGGGCAGTGGTTCAAATCCACTAATAGCTCCATGGCAGAAATATGGGCAATCTCATCCCATAAATATTTACCACCTTGGAAACATGATAGAGGGGTTTTAGAAGTTGGAATCAACTAGAGGGGAGTGGATTTGTTTAGGGGTTATGAATATATGTTTTTACTATCTAGCAAGTGACTGCAGCAATGGATATAAGCATTGCTGAGACTTCGAGGATGGTGCATGATCCAGCTGAGTTGTTTTGTTCTTTTATGTTGTGTGGGTCCCTATGACCCCATGCCAACTTGATGGCACCTAACAACAACAGCACTACATAGCAGTAGCAGCTGCAACAAAATGCTCAGCTTATAATTAGTGGTTGGAGAATAGTATTTAGAAAATATTACCATTTTTGTTTTCGTAGAGTCAGATAGGGATATAGAATAAAACTTGTTAGATGCACTTGGTTAGTTCAGGATGGATGTGCAACTTTGTGAATGGTGTGAGCTCTGTAATGTTAGATCTTTTAGGGTTCTAAGAAAATGGCAAATGTCTTGAACTAAAATGTCTTGTGCTATTTCAGCCGTTGACAAAATGCTGAGGGATGAAGACCCTTTAGTCAGGGAGTTGGCCGCAAAAACCCAGAATCTTTTTAAGGAGATAGCCCATGGATTGACCTCCTCAAGTATTAAGCAAGCCTTCCGAAGATTGTTTAGCTTCCTTTACATGAAAAAACTGAAGCTGATTTATAATTATACTGGGACTGACACCTTGATAGTCAATAACGAACAACATAAATATAGGAAGCGTTATGAGGAAATCCTTCCTGAAGAGAATTTTGAAGATTTTCACCAAGAGTGAGAAGTCCATCAATGCCTTTCAAGCAGATTTCAGAAGAATGCTTTTTTTCTTTCCCTCTTGTTAATTTGAGTTTATTTATAGACATCTTTGTGCATGTAGGGCGCAAGAAACTTTCACTGCCTCCTTATTTCTTCACTCAGAGGAATCTGAAATATCTGTTTCCTGTCTACAACAGTAATCAGAAGCTATACTTCATCAAATGTACTAATAAAAGTGAAAAAAATAAAAACACAAACTGTGTGTTTCATGAATAACCAACACCAAATTTGAAACTAAATCACCACACATCTCTGAGAACTTTCTAAGTGTCAGACACGATGGGAGGTGTTGTAGGCACATGGATGGTATAGACAAGAGTCCCATCCTCCAGTAGATCACTATCCAGGGATGTCTATCCTGCTGGGAAGAACACTACCTAGAATAGCATTCCCAAAGGACACTCTAATTTGTAGGGTGAAGGCAAGAGGGAAATTTACACCAGGTAAAGAAGAAAGCTAAGGAGCTCTGGTGGCCTAGTGGCAAGAAGCTGCACTGCAATCTCAGAGGTGTGTGGTTCAAATCCACCAGATGCTTTGCTGGAGAAGGACGGACAATCTCCTCCTATACCAGTCAGTCAGTTCGAATTTGGTGAGAATCTGAGAAGATTGTTGTGCACTAATGAGTCTAAACTGTTTAAAAGGAAAAGTATATCATCAGATATAGTGGCTCTTCATTTGCTTTCCAGACTAAGTCCAAAATGTTACCCTGATATATAAATGTCTTTTAGGAACTTGCTTTGTTTAAAGCACCAGATTCAGCTCTCACACCTCCTACATTATAGCCCTCCCACCCTCTGTCTTATCCTACTGTAAAACATTAGCCACACCAACCTACTCATATAGATGAAAGTTCTCGTCCTCTGTTGATTCTGGTGTGGTGACTTTATAATCTGACAACTTGTAGTTAATGTAGATTTTCATATTTCCTTGGGCTTATCTTACTGGCACTTGAGCTCTTGAGCTGTTCCACCAGCCCCTGGAATCTCCTCCATTTCTTGATTTGTGGGCCAGGTGTGCATTTAGTTGTGTTGGTAAAGGACACCAGCTTCTCCTGCAGGATCCTCACACCATTTAAAGGCATGGTTCCAGCTTGAATTTACAGGCTCTTGTTCTTTCTTCACACCCTTCCCTGCCCCACCTGCTTTGTATCCATCCTTCTATGTCTGCAGACTTTGAGATTCAGCACTGGAATATGAACAGTATGGAAGTTAGCATTGAATTTTAGCCACTACTGTATTCCAAACCCCAGATTCATAAGCAAGTTCATGTCATTTAAAATGAAATAGAAATATATTTCTTACCATTCCTTTACAAATTCTTTAGTGATAGAAACTATGTCTATTGCTGTCATTGAATTTCCAGAGTTTAGTACAATTATGTTATGCTTAGCTATGTTGTTGTTATGTGCCATTGTGTTGATTGTGACCTGTAACGATCCCATGAACAACAGATCTGACCCTGGCTCTGACCTATGCCATTCTCATGATCTCTGATATACTTGACATTTTTAACAGTCACTATGTCAATCCCCCTTGTTGAGGTTCCTCTGCTCCTATGCTGAGCCTCCATCTTTGTAAGGAACTTGATAAATATTAAGATAATTGGAGGGGGGGAACTAGGTATTATGTCAACAAATTTAAGCTGGAGAAGTTGAACATAATCTATTGGAGCAAAACATCATGCAATTACAATAGAATTTTAGGAGAAGTTACGTAGCAGTCTGCTGGAAACTGACAAAGGAGAGAAAGAAGTTGCAAAATCCACTCAAACCACTGGTTCAGTTACCATAGCATGCTTTTGTTGTCGTTTTATACCATACAGTCAGATCCAATTCAGCTGAGTCTCTAGAAGATTTTCTGAGGCAGTAAATTGCCCAAGATAATTCCTCCTCTTTCTCTGGAAACTGCAAATGGGTTTGAACTACTTGCCTTTGAGTTGTCACTGCAACTCCTTATAACTAAATCAATAAAAGCTCTCTAATCATACCATATTATTACCGTGTACTGTTGAGTCAGGACCAATCCATAGCTGACCCTTCAGCAAGTTTTCAGAGGCAGTTAATTACAAGGAAGGAAATTTTTCCTCTATCTCCCAAGCACCAGCTGGCAGATTCAAACCCCAGTGCAATTCCTTACCACTAGGCCACCAGCCTTCCCTTTACCATAGCACAGTTGTAGAGATCTTTGAACATTTCAAAATACAGTATTTTACTTTTCAAAAAGGAGCCCTACTAGCTAACTGGTGAGGACTTTCTCTGCCAACCCAAAGGCATGAGGTTTGAATCCATAGGGGAAAAAATATGGGAAATCTCCTTCCATGCAATTGACAGTCTCTGAAAAACTGCTGGAGAATCAGTTGTGAGTCATTTCTGACTTAGCAACACATAACAACAACAGCTTTCCACAAAAGTCACTGCTCTGTTTCATTCTCCCAATTTGAGTGAGGACAGGGTACAATGTGAAAATCAAGGTTTCAAAAAATTAAGCCATTTTATTAGGCAAGTCAGCTCATTAGATCCAGAATTGGAGTAGAATTCAGCACATTTACTCTCCAATGCTCTGTTTTCTTCTCTCCCTCTGCCTCCACCAACGTATTGTGACAAAGGGAGAACTTGAATCTGGTTGTTGTTGTTGTTGTTTGTTGTTGTTGTTGTTTTTATGTGCCCTCGAGTCGCTTGCAACTCATAGCGACCCTATGCACAACAGCCCTAAACTCCACTCTGTCCTGTGCCAATCGCACTGCTTCTGACACACCCATCCTGATTACCCCAGTCACTGAATCAATACACTTCATAGAGGGTCTTCCCCTCCTGCGCTGTCCCTCCACCCTCCCAAGCATGATGCCCCTCTCTAAGGACCTGTCCATCCTTACAACATGTCCAAAGTATGTCGGACAAAGCTCCAGAATCCTTGCCTCCAAGGAGCAGCCTGGTTTAACTCTCTCCTGGATTAATCTGTTTGTTTCCTTGGCAGTTCATAGTACACTCAATACTCTTCTCCAGCACCACAGTTCAAAGGCATCAATTATTCTTCTATCCTTCCTAGTCATTGTCCAACTCTGATACATAACAAGTGATTGCAAAGACCATAGACTGTATCAGATGCACCTTAGTCTCCAGAGTGACACCATTGCTCTTCAGTACCTTGGAGAGGTTCCTAACAGCAGGCTTTCCCATCACAATACGGTTTTTTTATTTCCTGGCTACTGGTGCCAAGAGTGTTGACCGTGGAGCCATGCAGAATAAAGTTGTGAACAATCTCAATCTCTTCACCATCCATCCTGATGCTGCCAATTGGTCCATTGGTGAGAATCTTTGTCTTCTTGACATTGAACCTCAATACATACTGACGGCTGCAGTCCTTGACCCTCTGCAGCAAGCATTTCAGGTCCTCCTCAGTTTCAGGAAGCAGGGTTCTGTCATCTGCATAACACAGATTGTTAATAGATCTTTCACCAATCCTGACACCACACTTCTCCTCATAGAGCCCACCCTCTCAGATAATCTGTTCTGCATACAAGTTGAAAAGGTATGGAGATAGGACACATCCCTGGCATACACCTTTCCCAATTTTGAACCATGCAGAGTTTCCTTGCTCTGTTCTGACGACTGCCTCTTGGTCCAAGTATAGGTTTCGCATTAGAATGATCAAGTGTTCTGGGATTCCCATTCTTCTCAGAGTCAGCCACAGTTATGGATTGGAAAAGAAATGGGGTGTGTGTGTGTATACACACACACACACACATACATACATACATACATATATACATATATATATACATACATCTATCTATATCTCTATAACTATCTCTGTATTTCTATCTATCTCTATCTCTATCTCTGTCTCTATCTCCATCTCTATCTATCTAATCTACTTTTAAGGAGTACTGGTGGCTAGCAGTAAGGAATTGCACTGCCAGCTCAAAGTCAAACAGAGCACATTGGGCACTCCAAAGGAAAAAGACTCCAAAGGACAATCTCCTCCTACGCAATTTATAGCCTCTGAATAAGTACTCTTTTACAATGTATGCCAGAGAGACTTTATCAAATAATGAGACCACAGTTTCATAAAATTCATATTACTAGCATTACATTAATATGTCTTATTGGAATTAGATCACTATTATGAAACAATTGTGAGAACTGAAGCACTAAAATATTGCACACAAATTCAGGTAATTTTGCTCTTAATATTAAGGCCAATATTTTATCCCTTTGCACATGGTTTTAAGTTGATGCCTTTCTCTTTCCTATTTACTCTCATTTTACACCACCTTTGAAGTGTCACAAGATAAAATATTCCTTCATGAACTATCAACTACAGAGAAAAGTATTTCATTAAGGTGTTTTAACTACAGCAAAGGGAATTAAAACCAGGTGGTAAGAAACTGTACCGCAAATCCAAAGGCATGCAGTTCCAAGCCACCAGCTGCTCCATGGGGAAAGGATGGCCAGTCTCCTCCTGTGTGACTTACCGTCTCTGAAAACCCACTGGAGGGTCAACTATGGGTTAGTTCCAACTCAACAATATACAAAAATTATAGAAATATGGCAGAAAATTCCCAGTAAAATGATTATCTGGGCAGATAGTGGCTAAAAGGAACATGCTGTCCATTGCAGTAAAGAAGCAGATGCTGCAAAATGAGATTTCACAATGTTCTTCAAGCAGATATAAAGAGTATAAATCAACAAGTCTGAACAGACAGATAATATTTGAATGGATGATTATGTAACACTTGAGAATTTGGGAGTGTTTTCTCCTTGTTCATAAAATGTTCATCATTTTGCAGATGTGTTTACTAAAAAAAATTCCTAAAAGTAATCCCAACAGTAAAGCAAAACTTGTGAAAATAAATGGAATTTTAATGCATGTGGATCATATTACAACTATTTCAAACATTGATTAATGAAAACATGTTTTTAAATAAAAACATTATTTCAAATCATTAAGGTTGACTCATTAT